AAGTGCAGGTGTTGGAAGTGCTAATGCATATAAGCATAAACTTTCTCAGCACATGATATCTAATAATCTAAGCAAGTTTGAAGTGTACAATGCAGATGAAATGGGCTTTAACTGGAAATGCCTTCAAAGAAACACTTTGGCCTTCAGGCTTGAGAAGAGTATTCCTGGTTGCAAGGTAAAGAAGGAAAGAATTTCAGCATTATTGTGCTGTAACGCAGATGGCAGTCACCGAACAACGTACGCAATTGTTGGGAAATCTGCCAACCTCAGAGCATTGAAAAACTGCATGAACAGACTACCTGTCATCTACTACAACACAAAAAATGCCTGGTTCACACAGATTATTTTTGAGGATTGGTTACAGAATCACTTTTGTAAAGAAGTAAAAAAGCAGCAGATCAATATGTGTAGAATTCATCCTGCTGAGGTAAAGGCAATGTTGTTGACTGACAATGCCCCAGCTCACCCCATTGCTAAATTAACATCGCCTGATGGCAAAATAACATGTATGGCTTTACCACAAAATACTACATCTGTAATACAACTCATGGATTAGGGGTTATCTATGCTCTCAAAGGCTTTATAAAAGAGCTATGAATTCAGATATTGTGGAAATTCTGCTCTCTGAGGAAGACGAGATGCCTAATAAGGATAAGAAGGCTAGTAGAACACTAGAAAATTTCAAGAAATATTCAATTAAAGATGTAATTTACAACTAGGCCAAGGAATGGAGCGAGTTGAAGGTCACCACATAAAAGAATGCATGGAATAAAATTCTGAGTCCGGTACCTGGTTAGAATAAAGACGAAGATAACTATGATTTTGACGGCTTTGATGATGCGATTTTTGAGACATTCAGAGATGCAGGTGAGGAAGATTTGCAACTTTCTGATGTGAATGAGTGGTTAGATAATGATGCTGATGATCCAGGTTATGGTGAATTAACTGATAATGAGATTATCTAGTCTGTTACTGGTAATAATGATGAGGATGTAGAAGAGGAAGATGATAGTGTGTTACCTATTCCATATGCTGCATCATTGCAAAAGGTAAATGATCTGCTTGATATGGTTATTGTAACTGATAATGAAGAGCTGACAGATTATTACCTGCACCTAAAGGACATGAAAGATATTGTAATGAAGCTCACAACAAAGAAACAAACTAAGATTCAAAAGTTTTTGGTATGGTTTCACAGTAGGCCTACAGGACCAGCACCCAGCACTAGCAAGTACTCACCTTCCAAGGATGCCCAGGCAACTGGACCAGCACCCAGCACTAGCAAGGACTCACCTGAGGATGTCCAGGCAACAGGACCAGCACCCAGCACTAGCAAGGACTCACCTTCCAAGGATGTCCAGGCAACTGGACCAGCACCCAGCACTAGCAAGGACTCACCTTCTGAGGATGCCCAGGCAACTGGACCAGCACCCAGCACTAGCAAGGACTCACGTTCCAAGGATGTCCAGGCCACTAGACCAGCACCCAGCACTAGCAAGGACTCACCTTCTGAGGATGTCCAGGCAACTAGACCAGCACCCAGCACTAGCAAGGACTCACCTTCCAAGGATGTCCAGAGCACCCAGCACTAGCAAGGACGCACCTTCCGAGGATGCCCAGGCAACTGGACCAGCACCCAGCACTAGCAAGGACTCATCTTCCAAGGATGTCCAGAGCACCCAGCACTAGCAAGGACTCACCTTCCGAGGATGTCCAGGCAACTGGACCAGCACCCAGCACTAGCAAGGACTCACCTTCTGAGGATGTCCAGGCAACTGGACCAGATGTCCAGGCAACAGGACCAGCACCCAGCACTAGCAAGGACTCACCTTCTGAGGATGCCCAGGCAACTGGACCAGCACCCAGCACTAGCAAGGACTCACCTTCTGAGGATGCCCAGGCAACTGGACCAGATGCCCAGGCAACTGGACCAGCACCCAGCACTAGCAAGGACTCACCTTCTGAGGATGCCCAGGCAACTGGACCAGCACCCAGCACTAGCAAGGACTCACCTTCTGAGGATGCCCAGGCAACTGGACCAGCACCCAGCACTAGCAAGGACTCACCTTCTGAGGATGCCCAGGCAACTGGACCAGCACTCAGCACTAGCCATAACTTACCTGGGAGTACTAATTGAGCTGTACAGCACAGTTCTAATGACATTAAATATACAAAGTATAGTTTATATGATATAAGTGTACTGCAGTAGTGTGATTCTAGTGGTCTGTACTTTATGTACAGACTGTAGAGTATAATGTACATTTGTTAGAAAAGTTACTGTTCTTTAAACAATTTATATTCATATGTGTGGCACTCTCAGGATATTAAGGCTAACAAAGTTTGCACTACAAAACTCAACTGGTAGAGTAAGTACAGTACTGTAATGTGCAATATCAATTTATTTCATTGCAATACAAATTCTTTATAATTTAAATTTTTCATAAGGCAAATGTGGACTGGCATATGCATTAATGTGATTGTATTTATTTTGGGGGGGAGGGAAGGGAGTTGCTGGGGACGAACGGATGGAATGAATTCCACACTGGAATGAATCGGCTCTGCCCCATATAGTTCATTCAAGCGAGTACACACATTTAATTCTACATTTACTGTCTACATTTAATGTCATCTAATTTCATGCATTTCTTTGATAAAGTGTTTACTCGTGTCCTTTATGATCTTGGTTATTTGAAACTGTTGGCCAAATTAACCTTAAATTATAGTATGTTACTCTATGTTCTGATATGTTCAAAGAAAATGTTATGAGGAATAGTTCACTTGCTTTTCTAAATTACACCTTGTATTTCCATTCTATAATTAATGTAAATAAACTACTGTACTGTTGCTAGAACTACTGACTCCATAATGTAATAGTCTATGCTTGTCATCCTTAAGTATCACCTTCTTTGTATTAATTTTTTATTTTCCTTGAACATTCTCATTTTGTTAGCTTACTTCTCTAATAGTATTAAGTGTTTTATCCCGTCACAACTTTAATTAAAAAATTTCTATATTATTATTAATTTTGCCCGAAACGCTTTGCGTAATAGTGGCTTCATTAGTATGTGTAACTTCTGTCCCTTCAATTGAACAATATTCTTATGTTCTTTGTACACACAATCTTTTGAATAAATAATAATATTATTATTATTATTTACACAAAAAATCACACTACAGTGATATACATCAATGAGAAAATTCACTCGGGCTGTGAGATGATGCAAACCTGCAATGTTTGCATTACCTCACAGCCTCAGTGGATTGTTCATTGATGTATATCACCTTAGTGTGATTTTCTGTGTATCTGAAGTTGTGCATACAATGTTGAACTACAGTACTTTATCCTTCACCTGAGTGCTTGGGGTCTTACATAAAACTTGGACTGGCTTCAGGACTGTGATATCAGGATATCACAGACTTCCTGTGATATCAGTAGAAATCCGATTGTAAGAAAGTCAGTGGTGGTACAGTAGTAGAGTATGCAGCTGGCAATGCCTTGGTCATGGGTTTGCAACACCACACAGTCCCAGTGGAATTTCTCATTATTATTATTATTATTATTATAAAAGTTATCATTATTCGATAGGCCAATGTCTACACCCCAACAATGCCATTGGCATATAATTTACCCCAACAATTCTACTGGCCTACATCTACACCTCCAACAATTCCATAGTCCTATTTCCATACCCCAACATTATTGTTGAAGAAAAAAAAAATGCTGTTTGTTGACCAACTTGTATATTGGCTATTTTCTACCATGTTCCCCCCCCTTTTTTCGTCTTTTATTATTTTTATTTATTTCATTCAATGCAATTATACTTTAAGCTTAATTACTATTAAGTTTTAGTCTAAGTGTTTTTTTCCCCACCTCACCTTGCCCGAAACGCTATGCGTACTAGTGGCTTTAGGTATTGTATGTACTACCTCTATCTTTAAATCAAACAGAATGTTTGTACTGTAACTCTGCAACTATGTATGTACTTTTCCTAAATAAATTTTTATTATTTTTATTATTAACAATTGTATGTTGGGGGTGTAAGACAATGGTGGAGCAGAAAGCTCAGTACTCACTTCCCCCCTTCAGAGCAGGAGAGATTGCTGAAATAGAGGGAATACAGAGAACATATACAGCACGCATCGTTGAGATAAAACACCTAAATTATTGGGATCGTCTCAAAGCTCTCCGAATGTACTCTCTAGAAAGGAGATGAGAGATATACCAAATAATATACACATGGAAAATACTGGAGGGCCAGGTCCCAAATCTACACAGTAAAATAACAACGTACTGGAGTGAATGATATGGCAGAAACTGCAGGATTGAACCAGTGAAGAGCAGAGGTGCCATAGGCACAATCAGAGAACATAAGAACAGAAGAGCAAAGGCAACTGCAGACGGCCTATTGGCCCATACGAGGGAGCTCCTATCTATAACCACCCAATCCCACTCATTTACATGTCCAACCCACGCTTGAAACAATCGTGGGACATCACTTCCACCACGTTACGCGGTAATTGGTTCCACAAATCAACAATCAACAACCCTGTTACCGAACCAGTATTTACCCAAGTCTTTCCTAAATATAAATTTATCCAATTTATACCCATTGTTTCGTGTTCTGTCTTGTGCTGATACTTTTCATACCCTATTAATATCCCCTTTGTTGTGTCCATTCATCCACTTGTAAACCTCTATCATGTCACCCCTAACTCTTCGTTGTATAAACATCAGAGGTCCGCGGTTGTTCAACGTTCTCCCAGTGACTATAAGAAATATTGCCGGAACAACCGTGGACATCTTGAAGAGAAAACTGGACTGTTTTCTAAGAGAAGTTCCGGATCAGCCAGGCTGTGGTGGGTATGTGGGCCTGCGGGCCGCTCCAAGCAACAGCCTGGTGGACCAAATTCTCACAAGTCGAGCCTTTCCTCGGGCCGGGCTTGGGAAGTAGAAGAACTCCCAGAACCCCATCAACCAGGTAATGCACTCAAGTACTTACTGAGGATGATGAGAGTGCGAGGAACAAGGTGGTCAGGTGGAGCCAGTGACTCCTTCCTTCAACAGTTTTGTCTCTCCCTCGTGGTATATCCTCAATGTCTTCAGTGGTGTGGCCTCACCACACACTTACACTGCCATAAGTGTCCTGAGAGTACTGTGGGAGGGACAATTTGGCGGGTATTGTGGACACAGGTCTTTAAGACAAGCGAACCTCACGAGTCTCACGAGTACCTATAATTTTCTCTCATCTTTTTTTTTTTCATTCCATGTAATCTGTTATCATTTTTTTGTCTATAAATTTTGCAAGTATTTACCTCCTTAAAATTTTCTTAGATTAAGGACCTGCCCGAAACGCTGCGCGTGCTAGTGGCTTTACAAGACTGTAATTACCATAATTGTATCCTCACATTCCTTATGTACATTCTTGTATATGCATAAATAAATAAATAAATAAATAAATAAGTCATGGACACGTCTATAGCAACCTTTGTTGTGATGACGTCACTCGCTCGCTCGCTTACCCGCCACGGTGCTCTTCCCATTTTCTTTGGTTACTGATCTTTGCCGACGTTTAATTAACCTGAGAGCAACTAATATTGGTGGCCTCAACGAGGACAGGAAGCTGGCGGCTTGCCAAAGGTCCTACCCATTTGCCTGGAAGATCTTTTCTATCTGTATTTTAAAACCCAGTAGAGTTTTGGCGTTTACCTTACCTACTTTTTGGCTGGTAGGCTGTTCCACGGGTTTACCACCATACGGGAGAAAAAGCCTCTCCTGTTTTCTGTCCTACATTGTGGCTTGTTGAGCTTGAACCCGTTGCTCCTCGTTCGTGTTACATCTGACCTTTTGAAGAAAGTATCCGGATCAACATCGTCCAAATTGTTGAGTATTTTAAGTGTTTCGATGAGCTCCGCCCTGTCATGCCTGGTTTGCAGTGTCGTTTGGCCAGTGGCCCTCAACCCTTCCTGATACGAGAGATGACTAATCTCTGGTATGATTTTTGTTGCCCGGTGTTGCATCTTCTCCAGAGCAGCTATGTCTTTCTGAAGATAAGGTCTCAATGCCTGTATGCAATAATCCAGGTGGGGCGCACCAGAGACTTATACAATTGAAGGACTACTTTAGTTTCCTTGAAGGTAAAGGCACGCTTGATTATTCCCAAGGTTTGGTTCGCTTTTTTTTTACTGCCGCTCCCACTTGTTGTGCAACTTTTAGTGAATGATGGATTCTGATTCCAATGACGCATTCTTCATCTATCTGTTGTAAGGTAAAGCTGGCAATTTGGTGGTTGTGACGTGGAATGTTATGCCCTACAGGCAAGGTCTTGCATTTATCGACATTAAAGAGCATTTGCCAGTCATCTGACCATTGGCGGAGTTCATGTAGATCTCTTTGTAAGGTCTCAATATCACTTTCACTTCCTTCTTTATCATAGATCTTAGTGTCATCTGCAAATGTGTCATCTGCCCAACATTCCATCTCCCAGGATGAACAGGACCAGCAAAAGCTGCTTGACTATGTTATTGTGTCGTCCCAAAATATTCCTGTGGAACGTGAAGGTGAAAAGTGTATTGAAATAGTTCATGCTCTCATCAAAGACGAATTGCGTGTCACTCTAAATAAAACCGACATTATTGCTGCCTACAGAGTAGGCAAAAAGAATCCATCAGGTCTAAACCAGCGAAAAATTCGCCACAAGCTAGCTTCCCAGTCCATAAAATCGCATCTTGTCCGGACAGCTGCATCCCAACGGAAGGGAATTTTCATCAACGAGTGCTTGACTAGAAAAAGACAGCAACTCCTCCACCGCCTGCGTCAAATCCGTAATCAAAACCCAGCTGCGATTCATCAGTGCTTCGTTAGAGATGGCATGATTAAAGTGAGAAAGACCTCAGGAGGTAAAATGTTTACAATTGGTAATGAGGATAACCTCAACACTTTCCTCTACCAATGTGGTTTGTCTCACCTTATTATCCCTCTCATTGAGTCAACATAATTAACCCCCTTGTCACCTAGTGCGGGCTACGTATCCTAAGTCTCTTTGTTACACTTTTTTAAAGTAAATTTTAATTTAATTTATATTAGTCATATATTGGACTTAGTTAATTGAGTGCATTAACATTTTCTTTAGTTCTTATTAATTATATATTCATAACTAAACTATTTATATTTAATAATCATTAGTTTAAACTTGCTTATGTTTATTATTCAACTTATTCTTTGCTTACATTTATTACCTAGGTTGCCTAGCCTCGCCATACTCCCTTACTCCATTGTACCCCTGGCTTTGCCTGTGTCTCAAAATGCAAATTATTACTTACAGTGTACCTGAGAGAACTTGTAAGCAATCTACCTCAATTTTCTTTTTTTTTGTTCATTTTGTGTTTGTCTTGTATAGGTCTTGTTTACATTTTAATTGTCCCCCCTTTTATATAAAAGTTTTGTTTTGTAATTGCCATTCTTGCCTTGTTTTCCTACAACCAGCCTTCTTATGCAGACAAGTATAGACCCAGAACTAAACCTCTTACCCACTATCTATGACAATCATCACTTTAATGATCAAAATTGCAGATATTTTACAGCACATGATGTAAACAATGTATTAACACATAATCACAATATCTCTGTAATTAACTTGAATGTAAGATCACTTAGCAAACACTTCGATTATGTTAGTGCCTTGATTGAAACTATTGACAACAAATTCTCTTTTATTATACTTACTGAAACGTGGTTAAAAGAGGATACTACTCAACTCTTTAACATGCCAAACTACTCAGCAATTCACAACTGTCGATCAATTCAGAGAGGTGGTGGTACTGCTCTTTACTACCACCAAGAACTAACATACTTAAAAGTAATTAGAACTAGAGACTGCTGTGGGGAGCATATCTTCGCCAGTTTCAGAGTCAAGGGTGCCGAGTCTGTCCTGACTGTGGGAGTAGTCTATAGAATTCCTAACACTGATCTGTCCGAATTCAACTCTAACCTTAGAAATCTAATACTAGATAACAGACTGAACAAAAACCATCTAATTATCGCTGGGGACTTTAATATTGACCTCTGCGAGCCTGAAAACCCTACTGCTGCCAGCTTCCTCAACTGTATGAATTCCTGCTTCTTCATACCCTTAATCACTAGACCTACTAGAATCACTGACAGTACAGCTACGACTCTAGATCACATCTGGACCAACATAACCTCTGCACTTACTTCAGGGATAATCATCGATAGCACTACAGACCATTACCCCACATTTCTCCTAACTAACATTAACAAACCACCTCTAGAGACAAGGGAGATAAGCTTTAGACTGCACAATGAAACTGCCATAGGCAATTTTATAGCTGCTGCTGATAGTGTCAACTGGGAGTCCGAATTAGGTAACACAGGGGACATCAACCTAGCAGTGCAATCTTTTCTTCAAAAAACTCTCAGCCTTTATAACCCCCACTGTCCTATGCTAACGAAACAAGTCACAACTAAAAGGCTAACTAATCTTTGGCTTACAAAGGGGATACTTAAATCATTTAATAAAAAACATGACCTTGAGAAAAAGTATAGGTCAGGAATCGTCTCCAAAGAATTTTCAAAGAATTACTCATCAATGCTCTCTAAAATAATTAGGAGAGCCAAAATTAAATACTACGAAGATAAATTTACCCACACAAAGGGCAACATTAAGAAAACATGGAGCACAGTTTCACAAATATTGGGATCAAAGAAGATTTTAAATAACAAACCAATACTCCTGTCAAATAACGATGGTCTGCTTTCAGCCTCTGACACTTCTCTTGAGTTCAATAGGTTCTTCTCTTCCTTTGGGTTAACCCTTGCAAATGATATCCCATCTTCCAAATACAGATACAAATACAAATATTGATTCAGGTAAAGTACATACAATTAAGGTGAGATACAAAAAGTTGATCTATTTATAGATAGAGCTAGTACATACAATGCCTAAAGCCACTATTACGAAAAGCGTTTCAGGCAGGAAAAACACTAATACTAAAACTTAATGCTAATTGAGATTAAAGCATAAATTGTGTTGAGAAAAAATAAGAAAAAAAATGAAAAAGGGGGGGGGGGTAAAACATGAAAGAAAAAAAGAAAAAATACGATTTGGTCAACAAACAACATTGTTTCAATATTAATAAAATAAATAAGGACTATTATAAATATTTTAAATATTCATTTAAATTAATTAATTAATTAAATTAATATTTAATATATATTTAAAATATAAATAAGGACTTATAAATAAGGACTATTTTACAGGGAACTATCCACAGTCTCTGTACCTAATGCCTATTAATTACACTGACGTCAATGAGATAATCCTTTCCCATAAAACCAAGTCTAGTGCCCTTGAGGAGATACCAACTCTTATTTACAAAAAAGCCTCCAGATCTTTAGCTCCTGCCATTGCATTGCTCTTCAACAAGTCACTTGAACTCCAAACCTTTCCAGATATTCTAAAAAAAACCGCGAGAGAAACCCCTGTCCAGAAATGTGGTGATCCCACTGATGTTAACAACTTCAGACCTATATAAATTCGGCCAAACTTGTCTAAAATATTTGAAAAACTTATCTACAAGCAGCTTTACTCTTATCTAGCCAAACACAATATATTTAGCTCTTGCCAATATGGCTTCTGACCCCCAAAAAGCACTAACGATGCGCTTATTTGTATGATTAACTTGATACATGCAGCTCTTGATAAAAATGAGTTCCTTGGTGGGTTATTTGTGGACCTGCGTAAAGCTTTTGACACTGTCAACCACCAAAACCTTCTTCTTAAATTACATCATTATGGAGTCAGAGGTCACTCCCTGCAATACCTTCAGTCCTACCTTACTGACAGGCTCCAATATGTTTCTGTGAATAATTCAATTTCTCCCACCCTACCCATCAACATTGGTGTTCCCCAGGGCAGCATACTTGGCTCTCTCCTCTTTCTCATCTACATTAATGACCTTCCAAATGCCTCCCAACACCTCAAACCAATTCTATTTGCTGACGACACAACCTTCATTTACT